CACACACACTCACACACACACACACACACACACACACACACACACACACACACACCTTTCCATCACTTTTGACCCCTTACTCAATTATCACTTTTCTTAGCATCCAATCACTACATAATACATCGTATATTTATTTGTCAATTTGTTAATTTTCTCTATACTACCATTAGAACATGAGCTCCACCAGATAGGTGACTGTTTACTACCACATCACCTAGAAGAGTGACTAGTTATATCAGTACTCAATAAATATTTGTTGAATGAATAGCTGAATGAATTCATAGATGAAACCCAGAATATGCACTTTCTAATTATAAATCCACCGTTCATCCCAACATTCCATATTGTCTCTCTGTAAAAGCTAGTTTGCCCCTGTACGCTTTGACACGCAATGTTATAAAACAGAATCAAATAATGAATCTTGGATAAACGATGATTTCCAGTTCTACTCTTCACCCAGTTACATAGTCAAAAAAATATATATATATATATAGCTTCTTGACTCACTGCTCTCTACCATTTCAGAAGCACAAATCAGATTATTCTGAGAATCAAAGAGTAAAAAAAGGTATTCATAGCTTAAATGCTTGTTAGCAGAAAAAAATATGACAAGATTCCCTTTACTTAAAAAAATAAAGTATTTTTTATACTTTAATAAAAAATTATTTAATAAAAATAAAAAGTATGACATTATTCCACATCACTTAACATACCAAGTCTTAACAGAAGTTTGCCCTTCTTAGGAGATGGAGAGACACCTGTTCATCTAGTGATGCATTTGCTTAATTAGGCATGCCTGTAGCTCAGAGGCTGTGGCACTGGCTATGGAGTTAAGGTTGTTTCTGAGGACTTCCTATATTCCAAGCAATGTTCTAAGTGCTTTACAATTGTTATACTGTTTAGGCCTCACAATAATCCCATGGGATTGTCACTTTATAGACAAGAAAATTGAGCAGAGACAGAACAATTCCCTCGCTTGAGGTCATACAGTTGAGAGGTGGTGGGCCTACAACATTACCTCTGACATTGGAACCCATGCTTGTAATAGGCTAACGATAACATTGCCTACAGAAAAACCACTCCTGGAAGATGAGACAGCCTCAAATGCCTCCTGCGTGTTTCCTATTCTGCATCACCTGGGCTAGTCCCTAAATAATAGAAACATAGTTAAGATCTGTTCCAGCAATCTGCTTCTGGAAAGTGGGTTAAATTTTGCATTATAACAGTGGACATAATTGAGGTGAGCATGTGTGCAATGTGGGTGGTGTTTTAATAGGCATGGGGTAATGAAAAATCCTAAACATAATGTATGTTATCTAAAAAATCAGGTGAGATTGACTTTCTCTTACTAACCTCATAACTAAAGGAAGAATTAGAAATGATGTTACAAAGGAAGCAATGGTGTTTAAGGCATCCACAGAGTTATTGGACACACTGAAATTTAACTTTTTTTTTTTTTTTTGTTGAGCCATCCTGCTACCTGTTGGCAGCTCAGCGGCTGCTCAGTTCGGGCTGGACTCGAATCGCTGTTGCTCAGAGCTCAAACTCTTGAGCGAGCTCTTAACCAACTGAGCCACTCGGCTGGCCCTTGAAATTTAACTTTTAATGATTTGATTGTATAAAAATGATAAAGAACATCTTTACAATGAAGCACTTTCTTAATGATCATTAGAGAAATTTCATCTTTATATGTTTGAGCAAAAATTATAATTTCCAGGATATTCTCCAACTTCAATCTTTGCATTTCTGTTTCATATTTCACAGTTGGATGCATGGATCAGACATGCCTTCTTGACGTTTTAGCAAGTTCTGTTTTTTTGGGACCTATGTGTATATATATATATATATATAAAATCATCTTCCATAACAAGCCCTTTCCAGTTAGCAGGTAAAAAAGAGTGAAAAAGTTCTTTATACACCCTTACAGCCAAATCAACCTTGAATTCTTTAGTTAGTAATTAGCAAAATCTATTTAACATTTTACATATTATTTTGCATTTGCATTTGTATCTTTGCATAGATACAGTACAAACAGTCATATTCTTAATACATTTAGCTATTATTTGTTCTGTGCTACATATCATTTTTTGGAACCAGTATGATTTTTTTTATATAATCTTGGCTAAAGAAGTCACACAAACCTACTTTGTATAGTTCGCAATAAATGTAAAATTTTGAGGTTCTTGCTACCCTCTTCTCTTACCTCTCTAAGGTCTCTTTCTAAAATTTATGACTGAAATCCTGATTTTGCACATGAGTTACAGGCTTATATATTGATTACTTACATGACATTCCCATTTGGTTATCTAATAAGCACCTCAATCTTAACCAACTTCAAAGTACAATGCTTGATTTCTCCAAACTTGTTCTCCAAGTCTTTTCCATCCTAGCTAATTGAACTCCTTCAGCTAGATGTTCAGGCCAAACAGCTATGAATCACCCTCAATTCTTGTTTTCCCTCATTCCCTGCCTGTAGGTGTGTTTCCTAGTAGTGGACCATGAAAGGAGATTATTGTTCAAGTGATTTACTGGGGGACTGCTTTACTGCAGCGGTTTTTAACTTGAGCATGCACCAGAAATACTGCAGGGCTTGCTAAAACACAGAATCCTGGGCTCCAGCTGCAGAACTTCTAATTAAGGAGGTGTGGGGTGGGATCTGAGAAGTTATATGTCTAACATGTTCCCAAGTGATGCTGATGTTACTTTTCCCAAGACCATACTTGGGGAATGCTGCTGTAGGGAAGAGAATCAGAGGGGATGGAGAGAGGATGGTGAAAAGCAAACCTGAGGCCTCAGATGGAACTGAGTGATTGACAGGGAGGCAACTATAAGCTCTTGGAGGCCAACACTCTAAAAGTTAGAGGAAGGCTCTCCAGCTAGCAAAGGGTACCTGGACAGGGCACAAATAGCATCGACTGCATCCCTGAATCCATTTCTCAGCAAGCCTTCCAGATCCACATTCAGAATAGGTGTTGAATCTAACCACTTCTCACCACATCCACTACTAACACTCTGGTTCATTAGCACCTCTCACCAGATGGCGATTCCTTCCTCAGGCAGAATGGCTTTTACAGAGCTGGATCTCGGGCAAGAGCCAAATTCCTGGCATGGTCAGTCTAGGGTCTGCGAGAGGAAATAACTTCACGTCCTGTAAGTTAAAGAAGCTGTAGCTGCAAATTCAAGGTCAACGTCTGAAACTAAGACCTGATGAAGTCACCTCTTAACTGCTCCAGTTTTATTCTCTTACAATGCATTCTCCATGAAGCAAATATACATGTTAATATACATATTTATACATATACAAATATTGGGTTGTTGGAAAATTCATGACATATTTTTTTTCTATGTGTTTTGTTGCAAAAATGTGTCATGACTTTTCTGACAACCGTGTGTGTGTGTGTGTATATATATATACACATATATATA